AGTCATAAAATACAAATACTTATTAGCTGAAATATAGGTCGAATCTCACCTTCCTCATCATCGTCGACAAAGATTGTGTGCTTACTCGCTCCAAGTCCACAACTTGGATCAGCGAAGTGAAGCTCTGATTTCAACTCATCTATCTTCTGAAAAATTCTTCCTTATATCCGATTAATCAATAGCGCCATTTCATGAAATCACCTTGTTTTCCGCATAGAGTTTGTATTTCACGTATTCCAGATCTTTCACATCGTTCAACTTTTTCTGCACCTCAGAATCCTCTTCCTGTTTCTTTGTCTTCTTATCGAAATGTCGACCGTCAAGCTTAATCACAATTGGGCCACATTTTGTCAGAATTTTTTTTGCATGTTTCAAAACTAACCAGGACCAGCATTTAGGCAATCCAAGGAAAACAGGAATGACTTATTAGACAACAGCATTAAAATATTAAGGAAAATATAAGATCCTAAACAATGTTTGCTTCACGGAAACTTCGAAGATGAGGGCGATTGTGAAACAATGCAATTCCTCCTTACTATTACTATTACAGTTCCTTGTAGAACTATAATAAGGGAGGGAGAATACATCCTCGTGAACAACAAACTGTGACTGATATGAGCCCTCAGGTACTGGTACATTTAACGACCCGCACTCCCAAAGTATGCATGTTTTTATGTTCTCCTCTGGGTTACATGAAATGCGCGAAATTCTCGTTCACTTCACCGGTCCGAGGCCAGCCTTGTATTTTCGAGCCCCAATGCCGCCCACACTGCATCCGCCACAGGAACGATCCCTTCGCAACTGCTTTATTTCCTTAACAAACTGGGCTTAGATCCGAATGGAGCCCGTAGGGAAGCAATTCTCACGATCGGTACAAGATCTGATTCTCTACATTTAGAAAAAGTGAATACTCTCACAAAAATAAATACACCGAGGTCCGGTCGCCCAATAGTGTTGGATGAGGAGTTCATCATGGAGCAGCAGTCAAACACCAGCACCAGAAATTTAGCGTCAGTGCTCGGCCATGCCTAGCTGACAGTCCAGGGACATGGTACAGAGACATTCGGTAAGGCCACGAATTTTGGCTGCCCGGATCATCGGTCTAACAATGCATTTCTCTTCCCATTCACAAAAAAAAAACAGATTGTTGACATAATGAATCACTGTAGATGAGAACTGGTCCCTCTGCAAAAATGCTGTGGTTCCAGCTTTTTGTCCACACAAGAGAAAAGCCGAGTCTATCTGTGTGCTTCATTTCAAGTTAAGAATGCTCTATTTCGGTGTCCCAAAACTGTTTAGAGCAACAGAAGTGCATGTCGCAGCCCCCATGCAGTTTGGATATTGTATCTATCGAGTACTGGGTGTTCACTGTTCCGTCACCTCAGCGCTTGCTAGCCGGAAAGAGAGTTCAAGAACGAGAACGAAGTCAGACCAGCAGTCGGTGAATTGTTGAAGTGCCAGCCTTCCTGCTTGAGAGAGTCAGCAAGCTGCGCGCGAACACTGGCGACAAGTGGAGAGCCAGTGAAGGTGCCCACATACAATTTTCAGCTTGGCTCGTTTCTGTTTTACAAAGATTTACAAAATGCGGGCAGATAACTTGCTTTAGCTTTTTTGATGTCAATATGACGAAAATTCTTACCTTAACCTCACTATTAATCATATGGTGATGATATTCATCCTCATTCTTGTCCAAGGCGTACTTCCTCAATTTCTTCAAAGTATCTCGCTTTTCCTTAAAATATTAAAATAGTCATCTGTTGTGTACTGGCATCACATCAATTATATACACTCCATCCATCCACCACGGAGCAGCGTAGAGATTGCTAACATTTTTTTAAAAGGGAACCGATATGGACGTGCTGCCATAAACATGGCGTCCCTTCGTTTGATGCAGAAGGGTTCCTATTGGTTACACATTGCCTTAAAGCAACAATCCAGGAACGAATTCGCGGGTAAGGACCACCTATAATGACGTTGCAGGTGAGAAGTTGGTCAATGGAGAAAGAAAAAGTAGAAAAAAACGTCGGGCAGGGGCTTAGACAGGGACTCCCCCTGCCGTTTAGGGAGACGTGTGTTGGACGAGTTGTCCGAACCTGCCCGTAGTACATGCGCTCCAATTGCAACTGCTGGCAAATAGCCATGCATGCTTGCAAATACATAACTATTTGCCAGCAATCGAAATTGAAGCGCTTCAATTGCGTTCTTATGGAATCGACCTCATACAGCGCGGCGGTCCCGCAACGACCGCTAGTCGAGCAAGCGCTCTGCACAGCTGCTTGGAGGCGGCCCCACCACGGATCGGTGGATCCGCCCCTCTTGAAGGATTTCGACTGCTTCCAACGCCTTTCAGAGGTAAGTTTTGAAGTTTGTGACATTTCCCATGAACTCCAATCAGGCTGAGGCATGTTTCCACCACTTGAAAACCAAATGGTTGAAACCCTGCCTGGACTGTTGCTTTAAAGGACGAATTTACGATGGAAAAGCAACCCATTCCAAATTGAGGTAGAGATGGTGAGTAGTACCAGAAAGAAAGCGAAACCACGAAAAACGGCCCAGAACCGGAGAAATGGGACCCCTTCCTTGTCCGTTGATTTGAGCATTGATGGGACTCTCATCGCTTTGCCCTCTTCAACACTACGCTCTCTCAGCTATCTAATCACTCGCCACGTATTGAACTACGGCGAGTGATCAGACGATCGGTGGGCGGAGATCGCCGAACTCGCCAACTTTGAGCCATGCTAGATCTCAGAGGTCAAATCTTTCGATGCCGATTGCGTGTCTGTCCGCACCCTCAAGAGATTCACCGCTCTCCCCACTAGGCGATTTCTCCCTTCTTCGACCTTCGTTCTTTCCGTGCAATCCTCCTTTAAAGGAAGTGCGTCGACGATAATTCTCATAGGGACGATAAGGAATGCTGCGTACTGGAGTGGATAGGTGGTCCTGCCTCAATGTTACAACACGTTAAATTTCAGCGGCAGTAGCGCCTTATCAGCGGAGTGAAAAACCAAGACTTACCGATGTGGAAAGGGCTGCAAGGGGTGCGTGCTAGATATGATACCGTTATCGTGATTGTCCGATTTTCATTCTAGAGTGTACTTTATTCTTAGCAGCCGCATCTCCTTATCTTATGATATCGTATCTTCTAGGGGGTAACGCTCGTCCGAACATAATCTATCTCAGACCTTATCGGTTGATAACGCGAGGGCAGCAAATCCAGCGTCGAAGCCAGCGTGATCGCTTCCTTTAACGCCTTGAGACAGCGCAGGCCTTGAACTCATTAAATCAATTTTTCCGCACATGCGCCAGTTTATTTGCATTCATTCCATGGAGGAACCTTAGAATAGCTACAAACATGTTCTCCCAAACAGTGACCACTGCCCTAATTTAGAGGAGCATGTCTGAACCTTACGAAATCTTCAGTTTAGTTAATTATTCGGTCCCTTTTTTTTCCTTAAAGCAAAAGATTTCGATCAGATTAGTAAATTAAGTATACGAGAACCTGAGAGGCTTCCGCGCTCACACAATCGCGCTGGTTGCACGCGGCCAAAAAAGCCAAAACGCGGCAACTCAGGTAGAGAGACGGAAGTAATGCCGCCTTTGACGGAAGGCTTACAGCAAAATATTCCTCGAAAATTCCTCTATAAGTGGGAGCAAGCCATCCCTCACTGCCCTCAGCGTTTTCGAAATGCGACTACAAAACATGTAGGGATATTTCTCTCGCGTCAAAACGGCAATGTTGCGGCCGCATCGAGTTTCGTACACGTTACACAACAGTGATGGACGGTGCGTCAAGCCCCGCCCTACAGGAACAACCTTTCCATATCGCGGCTAAGGAAACACAGGATACCGTGGTGAGACACCTCGGAAAAAAAGGCACAGAATACGACCCATGCTGTGGTTCTTCCAGCGGGACTTTTCGCTACTGCGGACTGCTCCCTCAGGGGAGCCGCTCCCTTTAACCATAGATATATGATCTTTTTCGACTACTACTATTTATCGTACCATCTGCCTTTAGCTTGGCACATGCAAAAACCAGAATTAGCAGTGAGATTTTCTTACCTGATAATCTTTTGCCCGAGCTTTATAATCGGCTTTCTTCTCTAATAAGCCCAGATGAGCGCGAACTTTTGGCTGAAATTGATACCTGTTACTCATAGACTGAATAAGAATTTTAAGAAATATATTGGAACCAAAACGCGATACTATTGAAGTAGTAATCATCGAAAATGTCGAATCGGATGGATTAAAAGTGAGGTTCCCCTTGAGCATCATTAAGTTTAAACAAAATTACTTGGGAGCGTTCTCTGTGAGGCCTCTGACTTGCCAGTTTCTTACTGATGCTTGCAAACGTTGACATCTATAAGAGAGTACGTGATACAAACTCTATTCACAAGAAGTTGTAGAGTTAAATAGTTTAAATGGAACATGCCATGGCTTCAATCGCATTTACTCTCTATAATGTTTATACATAGTCTGCCAATCAATGGAGGACTATCCAATAATAAACAGCACTGTATTCCTTATTAGGAGTTTCTAAGCGAACTAATCATTGTGGAGCAACCAGTATCGTAAATGCAAACCACTGGTTCGCAAAATCACAAAGCTAACACAAGATAGATAAACTACTACAATAATACTGCGCCGAGAATAGATCAGCTATAAGGTTTCAGTTAGAACAACAAAAATTCCTAAATTCACAAGAAACTGTTTAATAATCGAGACTTGAAAACATCGTCTTAAAATGTATAAGAATCTAGTATCGAGACGTGAGCAAAACAACGAGAAAACTGATAGCTCAGTCCTGATGAAAGTTAAGCAGTTGTATTCAAGAGGGAAACGATGTGCGTCGTTTGTTCTTTCGTTCAAAATATACTTTAAAATATTCGTATGAGCCAATCATTATCGCACATGCTGGAGCAATCTTTGCCACTCGCGGTACCACTTCCTAAACAAACAGCATGAATGGTCTCCAGAACTATTTTCGAAATTATAGATTTTCCACAGAGGAAATATTATTGAATTGTAGCTTAATAAAGCTGAATCGTACAGCACCCGGTCTCGACAGGGTCAAACCGGAACATCTGAAGAATGCGCCGCCAGTTATCATCAAAACTCTGGCTCGACTCTTCACGCGCTACCTGTCGGAATGCAAGGTACCCACTCCGTGGAAAACCAGCAGGACCGTGTTGCTGTACAAGAAGGGAGACCTGGACGACATTGGCAACTATCGCCCAATCTGCCTGCTGTCTGTAATCTACAAGCTATTCACTCGAGTCATCCTTAACAGGATCGGCAGAATACTAGATGAAGGACAGCCATGCGAGCAAGCAGGGTTTCGAAGAGGGTTCAGCACGATCGACCATATCCACACGGTTACAAGACTCATTGAAGTTTCACGAGAGTACAAGATGCCGCTTTGTCTCACGTTCATCGACTTGAAGAAGGCCTTCGACTCAGGGCAACCAGGGCGTCCCTACTCAGTACATCAAGATTCTTCGTGAGCTCTACAGCAACTTTACGACCAGAATCTCACCATTCTACAAGGAGGTCATCATCGACGTCAAGAGAGGGGTCCGACAGGGCGACACCATCTCGCCCAAACTCTTCAGCGCCGCTCTCGAGAACGTCATGCGTCAACTGGAATGGGAAGATCGACGGCCGGCAACTACACCACCTTCGTTTTGCTGACGACATCGTTCTTATAACGCCGAACATCGAGCAAGCGGAGCGAATGCTGGCTGATTTCGACTGCGCCTGTGGTAAGGTTGGTCTACAGCTGAACCTAACGAAGACGATGTTTATGAGAAACGGATTGGTTCCTGATGCCCCATTCACGCTCAACGGAACGAACATCACCGAATGCTCCAGCTACGTGTACCTAGGTCGGGAAATCAATATGATGAACGATCTAGCTCCAGAGCTGAGCAGGAGGAAACGAGCGGCTTGGGGAGCGTACAAGAACATCGAGGGAGTAGTGAAGAAGACGAAGAACATCCGGCTCCGTGCCCACCTCTTCGATTCCGCTGTCCTTCCTGCCCTAACCTACGCCTCAGACGAGACAATAACTCCTTTTCTACGCTAATGCTGGAAGAACGAATTCCATACAGATTTCAAGAACTGTCAACGAATTGACCTGCAATAGCGAAGAGGGAAGCGACTTTTTGAGTGGTCAGGAATCGTCCTCGATAGACCTCGACGCAAATATCTCGTCGACTAAGGGAATTTGGAAAGAAGCTAAATAAACTATCAGAAGCGGAATCTATCCGCTTTTCAAAACTGCCTTCTTTTTTCAAGTTCTCACAAAATTAGAGAGATATCTTGCCTTTTAAGCGGTGAAAACTAGCATGACAATTTCAGCGTCTCCGACGCTGACTCGACGCAGTTCGAGAGACCCTATTTATCCGAGTGGAAGGCTCCTAGAGCAAATCAACACTGGTTGGTAGGAAACCAAGCTCTATCTGACTTACCACACATTGTTGAGAAGATTATAAAATGAGGGAATGGTACCTTTTTACAGGGATTGTAGATTTCTACGGTACAGAGCGGAGTTTTAGCAAATCTGGCTGACCCAGGGGTAAACCTCGCTGGAACTGCATACTTTAAAGTACATTCACGCTACTCGTTTACTCTATAAAATAAAAGTTGAAGGGACGTATCAAGACCCATTTTTAGGGGTTCGTAATGCTGCGACCACGCCCTCGACACGATTTTACCCTGCTCGAACCCCTTGGGAGACGAGCGGGTAGAAAAGGGTCAGGGTGAAAATTCGAAAGAGAGTTGCGACGGCCGAATCCGCTAAACACAATGTTCTCTCAGCAGGGTCTAATCTATCGGCCCCTATTTTCGGCTGATGCTGGTGTCAGAGTCCGCCATTCGTCGCAGGTTTCGTGTGAATCGCGCGATGCGTCACAGAAATCAGAAGTGTCTGACCAAAACTGCGGTGCTCTCCGATCCCGCCGCCATTTCTGCTTGATTGATGATAGCTGATGAACGACTGTTCATGATTTAATTGTTGCAAAGGGTCAAATGGACGCAACTTGCAATTTGTGCCACCATCGCGAATCGCGCGACACCACCGAAACCTATGACGGATCGCGGGCTCTGACACCGCCTAATAAAAGCGCTCCAGGTGCATCTACCTTCACCTACTTCCACGCTCTCCATGACCCTCCGAGAGGGAGCGTATCAACAGCAGCTTGAGCAGCCAAAATTTCTATATTCCACAACTTCCCAAAATTCGCGGATAACCCGAACATCGCACCAGACACCCTCTTCTACAAAGTGAAATATACAACCGCTTCGCTGAGAAACTACACGACACAGTGTACTCTACTCTCGACACTTACCACCTTCCCCGTAATTTTTTGAGAGCGACTCGGGCGGCAGCTCATGAAACACTTACCAGCGAAAAGCGCGGTCACGCCACCACCATGATTCACGATTTCTCGCACAATAACAGTAAGAGGAGTACGTCGAACAACCTTCTCGTCACCAAGTTTGATTTGAAGATGAGTCTTCATCTTAAAACGGAAACACCCCTCTCAAATCAGTGGGTAGCAGAAGTGTGCGTGCTGTTTGTTTTATCTGTCATATTATTTCATTTAGCTAAATCTTTCGATCCTATTGAATACTTTGGTACTGACGAGTCCGTGATCTCGAGAAAATACAACCGTTTACGGAAGGACGACCTCGCAAAAAAGAATGTCATCGGCGCGCAAAGTAAAGACGACGTAAAGGTTTGTGCTTTCTGCAATCGCATGGTGATTGAACAGAATTTGTGCCAGCTCAAATATTTTATTGATGCAGGTCCTTTAAATGTGATGTTTCGTGCTATTATCTTCACTTATTCTGAATGTCACTGTTTGTTCTAGAAAGCTGATCGACTTAGACGTGCCCGTTACTCTGAATTGATGAAGCGACAACAGAGAGTGAAAGAGTTGGAAGTCGTGGTTGCAAAATTGGAGCTCAAAAAGGTAGTTGGATCAAATTTTTCCACTTAATTGCTGATGTTTCTATTTCACTTTCACTGCATATTTCTTTCACTAATCAGCTGGTGTACCCACATACCTGTGATGGTTCACTCAGTCCCTATAATTCTGAGGGTGCTGGTCATATCCGTTTGTGCATCACATGAGCACCACAATCATTTAGCATTTTAATTTTCCAAATAACAGCCCTTCACAACCAGTAGCTCAAATTTTTTTGAGCAGGGAAAAAATTTCACAATTTGTTCTGTAATTTGAAGCAGGTGGTATAGCCGAGTGGTTATTAGTAGACTCATGCCTGCACCTCTGAAAAGCCGCGAGTTCGATCCCTGCCGAGGCTCAACCATGCCTTGGAGAAATTGCAAAAATGATTCCAGTACCAGCGTCAGGGCCAGCTAATGAACGCCTCAGTCACACTACGATGGAAGTGGTGTAAGTGTCAGTGATAAAGCAAGGACGTCACCCGAAAGTTTGTGCAAAACCTCCGCCTGAGTTCTGCTGGAAGTTTGTTTTGATTTGTTCCCAGGAGTCAGAAGTTTAAAAAGTAGTAATAATAAATTAATAACCACATTTTATCTGAAATCTCCTTTGCCGCTTCCAAAATCGCTGTTCTCCAATCCTTTGCACCATTATGGACATGTACGGCGCGTCTCGCCCACAGATAGCTGGCT